GGTAGGTGTGTTAGCCATGGGAAATGTACAATTGTAGGGAGATGGGTTTGGGTGTGATGCTTTTCAGAGGGTCAGTATGGGCTTGTTGGGCCAAATGGCCATTTTTCATTCTGTGATTCTTAAAAAAAATGAACTTCAGTTAGCTTCTGGGAAGAATGCAGCATCTTTTCTGGTGACATGGTACAACAATGTGAAAATGATATTTTCACTGTTGATTTATATTGTTGTGAAGTGAAGAAGATAGGATGGTACATAGTCCACAGGTGTATTACAGAGCACTATTTTTGACACCCCACTATCAGTGTGATTGTTAATGATAGAAAACAGCTGAGAAGAGTCAGCTTTTTTTAGTCATTAATGTTTGAATGCTGTTACTGCAGGCATTGGAGTTTAAGTATCAGCTTAACTGTTTTTGGCGAGACTTTGTCCCAGTTTGCTTCCATACTGCATCACACATCTATCCGATTTGGTGTGAGCACAGTACTCCTAGATAACAGGCAATTGGCTCAAAGTGTTTCTTCCTTCAGAAAACAACTTAGTTGCTTCATTTAAGACAAATGTGACTGTATGAGTAGCCAGAGTAACAGTAAGAGGAGGTCATCTGAGACCCTTGAAATGGACACATATCATCACTTTTAGTAAGAAATATAACAAATCAAATGTCAAAAATCTGAAATATATCACTGAATTCTGTAAATAAACCTGAGAAGTTTATGTCCCTTTTCACGTGATAAATTGTGACAGATCCATTGTGTTATTTCAAATGGTTCTAGTTGCTGTTTTTAATCCCTGTTTATATTTTTATTTTTATGACACCAGAAATTTGTGGTTAATGTTCGACTGACAACTTCACACCTAGAATTTACTCGTTGACAGCTATGGTCAAACATGCTTCTATGTAGTCTGATTGATAAATAGCACTGAAAGATTTGTAGAGAGGTCCCTGGATTGCACCGTTCTGTTCTCCAGTCCCAGGTGGATGTAAGGAATGAACAACAAAGACATGCCTTTAGTTTGCATGAATATATGTAACATGATAGCACACTATAAACCACAGACAGATGCTTCAGTACAAGTGGACTCAATGCGAATCAATAATTATACTTGTACTTACAATGTACTCTTGATTCTAATGAGTAAACATGTAGACCAACTTCTGTATGCACCACACTAGCCTTCACACATCTACATCTGAACAAATACCACTGCTTCCTACAATGGTATAGCCAGAGCATGTTACTAAATTGTCCATTTAACAATTATCTACAATCTGAGAGAAATACTTTTCAACCTGTCTGGTAAATTCAGTCCACACCTATAATCTCATTTACTTCCCTTCTTGGTGTCACTGAAGGGTGCATTTCCTTTGGTACACTGAATGGCCAAAAACACATTAAAACACTGGCAGCCCAGACTCTAGGTTACATAAAAATACGACAATAGGTTAGGAATTTCCCACAGCATTTTTAATATTAATCTATTTTACTCAATTGCCATTTTAGTTTTCTTTATTCAGCAATTGTTCACAGCTGGCTCAGAAGGCTGTAATTTTCAGGTACATTGTTTCAGAAAGCAATCTTAGATTATAAACTGGCAGGACTGAGGGCATGCCACAACGTTTTACTTCACATCTTATAGATGAGATATTAATGAGGACCCATGTAACTGTTCAGGTGGACATGAAAGATGCCATTGCACCACTTCAAGAAGAGCAGGGAATTCTCTTGGAATTTTGGTCCAATATTTCTTCCTTCATATCATCATTGAAATATCAGCCAACTGGTTAGTCATTTTATTTGGCATACTTGGGACCGTGCTGTCTGCAGATTGATTGCCACATTTGCCTAAACAACAATGGTGACTAAACTTTAGAAAGTAGTTCATTAGAAATGCTTTGGGGCATGACAAGATGCTATACAAATGCAAGCTCTTCCTTCTTAAACATGTTGTAAGAATCAATGTACTTAGCCACACAAATTCAACTGAAAGCTTAAAAACAAACCTAATTCAGATCGAGTTAGACACAAAAATGCAGTACATCGTTTACACTTGATTCAACCATGTCATAGTTTTGAGGGAAAGATGCAAAGGTCACATTCCCACTTTAGTTTTTGAAAATGATGGGACCCTGTGCATTATTACTAGTGAAGATCCACACCATCTCAATTGCAAATGCCATCTCAGTTCTAGAAAGTCAAAAGACAATTCAGAAGAGCTACAGCAAGAAAATGATACTGCATTGACCAAGAAGTGGTGATGACACATGCACCCTCCAATAGTATTGAAGTGTGCAGCCCCTTTTGAATTATTTTGCTTAGTCCCTGACTTCGAGGGGCTGATTTGTGAGCAGCCACTCCCAGGTTATTGCACAGATGCGCAGTTTAGAGGAAACATTAGTGATGGCACATAATGAACCAAGGAGGGATGTTGACACTTCATGAACCAAGAACCACTACATTGTACCTTTTCTAAGAGGGAGCATCTGAGCAAAATTAAATTGATCAACAAATATTCCACAACAGGATTTTACATTACCTGCCATGCCAGCGCTTGACTGATTCCACAGTTGACTCCATGAGCCCACAGCAAGCACATCTCTTTAAACTCACAAGTGCAGCCACTAGTGATGTAAATATTGCAACTGTTCAGTCTATTTACACGCCATCATTAAATTTCACTGTTTGAGATCTTGGCAAATGGGTTGAGTCACTCACTCCTATTGTGAAATTTTACGTTAATATATTGACTAAAAAGTAGGTTACAAACTTAAATATGAAAGGACATTGCCAAGATACATGAAGACTGGTTAAAAAAAGAACGTGGATTCCTGTAGAAAGCTAAATTGATCAGGAAATGAATAGCACAGTATTTTAAACTCCAACATGAAATGCTGACTTTTGGCAACCACTATGTAATATCTTTATCTGAGAATGTGGGACTTCTTTCATATATATTCAGTCATATTCTCTGATACCATGGAGGAAGTGGGAAATCCTAACAATCAACTTTGAAGGAAGTCTCAGAAAGAAGCTATTTTCTTTTCTTTTTATCTTACAAACTTTCATTTATTCCTTACATCCTTTTAATTCACAAGATAAGGTTTCACCTTTCCCCTTTTCACAACAGTATATTAGGGACATCTGTAAGAAAGTTTACTCTTACCGGGCCTGGCTGTTGATTGGATGAGTCACAGGCAAGTGAGACCAGATCCTTCAGAGGGTCTGGTGGATTGAGATGTGGCGGGAATCGAATCGTTGTGTGAGGGAAGTAACCTGAAGCACTCTGGGGAAGGATGGAGGTTGTTGGAAAATGCAAAGATGAAGAGGCATGGGGACTTCGTGATGTAAGACCTGTAAATGCATAATAGAACAGATGTTGCTTCAAACCACACTATACCATGAACAGAAAGAAAAAGAAATCAAATCTTCCATTTATTTATATTCTGAGTATTGAAAACACAAATGGTTTACTTTCTCTGCTTGCACATCTTTGCTTGTGGCAAAAGCTTGCCACAGTTTATGTTTTGCTGCGCCAAATATTTACTGCTTATCATCAACACATGTCTACATTTTAAACGAGGTTATTATCAAGTTTAAAATACATTTTTAAAAAATTGCTCACTGTGAGAGTTAGGCAGAGTAAGTAGCTTTTTCACTGGATAATTGTATAAGCTCCATTTTTGAGAATTATGTATGGAAGCTATATCTGAACAATTGCCTCAAAGAAAATGGGAGCCTTCACAAAAAGACCTGTAATTTTAAAAAAAAATTAATGTTTTTACAATCTATCTTTCAATACAGACCCGTTCCATTACAAACCAGGGAGCTTACTGTGGCAGCAGTTCTAATAAAAGATCATAGTCTTGAAATATCTCTCTCCAAAGATGTTGCCAACCTCTTGATTATGTCCAGCATTTTCTGTTTTCTTTCAGGTAAAAGTAAGTGCTTGTTACAAGATAAAGTGCATTTTCACCGACAAGTATAATATCCAATGCATCAGTGAGGATGTTGACAGTACATCTCCCCATCAATGGGGAAAATATATTGACGGGGCCACAGGCATAGAACATAGAACAGTACAGCACAGTACAGGCCCTTCGGCCCACGATGTTGTGCCGAACATTTACCCGAAACCTAAGGTCTATCTAACCTCCACCGCTACCTTATACTATCATCCATATGCCTATCTAATAGCCACTTAAATGCCCCTAATGAGGCCGACTCCACTACCCTCTTCGGCAATGCATTCCACGCCCCTACCACTCTCTGAGTAAAGAACCTATCTCTGACGTCTCCCCGATATCTACCTCCTTTCACTTTAAAACTATGTCCCCTTGTAAAAGCTACCTCCACCCTAGGAAAAAGTCTCTGGCTGTCCACTCTATCTATACCTCTGATCATTTTGTACACCTCTATCAAGTCACCTCTCATCCTTCGTCGTTCTACAGAGAAAAGCCCTAGTTCTCTCAACCTTTCCTCGTAAGACCTTCCCTCCATTCCACGCAACATCCTGGTAAATCTCCTCTGCAGCTTTTCCAACGTTTCCACATCTTTCCTGTAATGAGGTGACCAGAACTAGACACAATACGCCAGATGTGGCCGAACCAGGCTTTTGTATAGCTGGAGCATAACTTCATGGCTCTTGAACTCAATACCTCTATTAATGAAAGCTAACACACCATACGCCTTCTTAACAACTCTATCCACCTGGATGGCAGCTTTCAGGGAACTGTGAACATGAACCCCAAGATCCCTCTGCTCCTCCACACTGCCAAGAATCTTTCCGTTAACCCTGTATTCTGCTTTCAAGTTTGTCCTTCCAAAATGAATCACCTCACACTTTTCACGGTTAAACTCCATCTGCCACTTCTCAGCCCAGCTCTGCATCCTATCAATGTCCCTTTGTAACCTAGAACAGCCCTCCGCACTGTCCACAACGTGACCCACCTTCGTATCGTCCGCGAACTTGCTAATCCACCCTTCCACTCCTTCATCCAAATCATTTACAAAAATCACAAGTAGAAGATGACTCAGAACAGATCCTTGTGGTACACTACTCATAACTGAGCACCATGTTGAATATTTTCCATCTACTACCACCCTTTGTCTTCTAAGGGTCAGCCAATTCTGAATCCAATCTGCCACATTTCCCCCTATCCCATGCCTCCTTACCTTCTGCATGAGCCTACCATGGGGAACCTTATCAAACGCCTTACTTAAATACTTAAATAAAATTAATGCAGTTTTAGCATTAGTCTAAAGGAACATTTATTTCTATTCAATACAAGATTGTATGCTCATAATGCATTCAGTTCAGTACTTCAACGTCAACTTATATTTATATAGACTCTTTAACAAAATGAAAAGTCCCAATGTATTTCATAGGAATGATATTGAACAATGTTTGACAGCAAGCGCAGATGAATGAAAACCCAGTCAAGGAATAGGTTTCAAGGTATGCCTTAAAGGAGGTTAAAGAGGTAGAAAGGCAAAGAGATCCTTGGAGGAGGTTCCAGAACCTAGGACTTTGGCAAGGCCACCAACAGTTAAGCCAGTAAACTTGGGGATGCTTAAGAGAACTAAGGTTGGAAAAGTACACGTCTTGGAGGGCTTTGGAGCTGGAGACTAACAAGTTAGGCAGGGGTGAGAAAGGTAGAGATTGGAAAGCAAAGATGAGAATTTTAAACATGGAGGCTTTGCTTAACTGGGAGCCATTGTAGATCAGTGGGCATAAAGAAGATGGGTGAACATGACTTGGTGCAAATTAAAACTGTAGCAGCCGAGCTTTGGATGACTCCATGTTTACTGGGGGCAGAATGAGAGAGGTCAGCCAGGATGCACTTAAATAGCCAAGTGTAGGGATAACAGGAGCATAGCTGAGAGTTTGAGCAGCAGATGAACTGACGCACGAGAATATTATAGCAATGGCAGGAAGTGGTCTTAGTAATCCAAAGCAACAAGATCACGTGGAGCCATCTGTACAGTAAAAGGGTAAATATATTGAAAAATCCCTTCAGTAATAACATGCATGAAACAGAATGTTTAAGCAATAAAATTTTCTCTGAATTGTCTTAAATTGCTCACTGGACTGTATCCACATAAAAATGCACTTTACGTTAAATAATTACAATTAGAAAGATATTTCAAGACCACACCGACCGTTTTTACATATTCCCACATTTATTTTATTTTTTATCAAAATTTAAATCTAAATAATTATTCAAAGATAAAGTACATGTGCCCAATACCATAGCCAAACATCAGTCAATAAAACGGAAAGTTAGATGGGCCATAAATCAGGATGTTGATGAACCAGCATCTAATCTGTACTTCTACCCAAAACAGATTTTTTACCCAGAGTGCTGCAGTATTGTTGGAATATGTTTGAAGTTGTGATTATTTGATGTTTTGCAAGAAGTTTAGAACAATGACTGCTGGCAATTACACTAGAAAGTTATTCATTTTTGGTTCATTTCAAACAAGTCCCTTAAATGCACGATTCTCTCGCAGATTTTTACACACACGGTAAAGTAAAGAACTATAAACATTAGTACAAAGAATAGTTAGGTTTGAGAAACAATCTTCTTTATTTACACAAACAGGATGATTAAGGTATCTTAAAGTGTCTAAACTGCCACTGTTTGTCAATTCCAGATGTGTTAAACAAACCCATTTGTATGAACAGTGAATCAGTATTCACAGGCATAATCAGTTTTATACTATTGCTCATTTCAACTTGCCCCGAACTGGCTAGCGTCATGGGTCACCCTCCCTGAAAAAGTCAATCTGTTTACTCTGCAAAATATTGCCAATTATTTAGTAAGTTTATTCCCCTGTAGACATTTCATAGAAGTCGGCTCGGTATTGATTAGCTTAATTGAAAATGACTAGAGTTACACAAAGTTATGGCATCAAAAAATAACAAAGAATACAGTTCAGCTTTTTCAAGAATCTATATTTCAGACAGTAACTTTAACCGTTTCCTTACCACTGTGAACAGCAATCACAGGACGGTGGTGTTGTGTGAAGCTACTTAATCGTGAAGAGGAGTCCTGTGGAGAGGGGCTGTTAAATGGAGATTTGTCCATCTCAGTCTTCTTCACTGTAGGGGAGATACCTAACAGAAAATACAAGCAGCAGAGTGTCAATACTTCGCATTCATTCAATCCTTTCTTTGTCAGTATTCCCCTCTGCTAATATAGCAGGAAAAGAAATCACAACACTGCAGGATTATCTACAGCAACAGATGCAAAATAGAAGTTTAGGTCATGAATAATTGCAATGGATAATGTCTCCATGAGCAGAAGCAGAAGGGGTTCCTCTCCTTGACAATGTTTGCTCACATTGAAACTTGAACAAAGCAATTAGAAGGTCACTATTGAATTACCTTTCATTTTGCCAAATGTGAGAGAGTTTTGTTCACAAGATTAAAAATTCATTTATTTGTAATATTGAATATGCTGAAGGACAATTAAAGAATTACGTGAAGTGTTTCATTTGGACAATTCTTTGGTTGTAGATTTTTATCGACATTTTGCCCTGAAAATTAATTTGCAGCCTTCAACTCCAACGAATACTGTAATTGCTTCCTTAGTGTCAGAGTAACTTAATCTCAGGATGGCATTCCTGTCCACACAAAGATTCCGCAAAAACCTTCCTTCAAAACTTTTCAGGCCTTTCCTTGAATAGCCATCTTTGGCAAAGATTTAAGGACAGCCGGTGAGGCAGTTCCCATTCTAAACACTGCAGGCTAAGCAGCATCATAGGAGCAGAAAGGCTGACGTTTCGGGCCTAGACCCTTCATCAGAAATGGGGGAGGGGAAGGGGGTTCTGAAATAAATAGGGAGAGAGGGGGAGGCGGATAGAAGATGGATAGAGGAGAGGATAGGTGGAGAGGAAACAAACAGGTCGAGGAGGCGGGGATGGAGCCAGTAAAGGTGAATGTAGGTGGGGAGTTAGGGAGGGGATAGGTCAGTCCAGGGAGGACGGACAGGTCAAGGAGGCGGGATGAGGTTAGTAGGTAGGAGATGGGGGTGCGGCTTGAGATGGGAGGAGGAGATAGGTGGGAGGAAGAACAGGTTAGGGAGGCAGGGACGAGCTGGACTGGTTTTGGGATGCGGTAGGGGGAGGGGAGATTTTGAAGCTTGTGAAATCCACCCACAGATCAACGAATACTGCTCACGTTTGGACATAGAGCAGTTTTTCCGCCGCCTCCGCCTCCACGCTTACTTCTTCAACCGTGAACCTAACCCTCCCTCTACTGACCCCTTCTCCCGCCTCCAACACACCCCCTCCTCCTGGACACCACCCCATGGCCTCCTACCCTCCCTCGACCTCTTCATCTCCAACTGCCGTCGTGACATCAATCGCCTTAACCTCTCCACCCCTCTCACCCACTCCAACCTCTCCATCCCTCTCACCCACTCCAACCTCTCCCCCGCAGAACGTGCAGCCCTCCGCTCCAATCCCAACCTCACCATAAAACCCGCTGACAAGGGAGGCGCAGTTGTAGTATGGCGCACTGACCTCTACATCGCCGAGGCCAGATGCCAACTCTCCGACACCTCCTCCTACGCCCCCTTGATCATGACCCCACCCCCGAGCACCAAACCATCATCTCCCAAACCATCCACAACCTCATCACCTCAGGTGACCTCCCACCCACGGCCTCCAACCTTATCGTTCCCCAACCCCGCACCGCCCGCTTCTATCTCGTTCCCAAAATCCACAAACCTGAATGCCCTGGTCGACCCATTGTCTCCGCCTGCTCCTGCCCCACCGAACTTATCTCCAACTATCTCGACTCCATTTTCTCCCCCTTGGTCCAGGAACTCCCTACCTATGTCCGTGACGCCACCCACGCCCTCCACCTCCTCCAGAACTTCCAATTCCCCGGCCCCCAACACATCATCTTTACCATGGAGGTCCAGTCCCTCTACACCAGCATTCCCCATACAGATGGCCAACGGCCCTCCGCTTCTTCCTGTCCCGCAGGCCCGACCAGTCCCCCTCCACTGACACCCTCATCCGCTTAGCCGAACTCATCCTCACCCTCAACAACTTCTCTTTCAATTCCTCCCACTTCCTACAGACAAAGGGGGTGGCCATGGGTACCCGCATGGGCCCAAGCTATGCCTGCCTCTTTGTAGGTTACGTGGAACAATCCCTCTTCCATACCTACACTGGCCCTAAACCCCACCTCTTCCTCCGTTACATTGATGACTGTATCGGCGCTGCCTCGTGCTCCCATGAGGAGCTCGAACAGTTCATCCATTTCTCCAACATCTTCCACCCCAACCTTAAGTTTACCTGGACCACCTCTAATACCTCTCTCTCCTTACTGGACCTCTCTGTCTCCATCTCGGGCAACCACCTAGAAACCGATATCCATTTCAAGCCCACCGACTCCCACAGCTACCTAGAATACACCTCCTCCCACCCACATTCCTGCAAAAATGCCATCCCCTATTCCCAATTCCTTCACCTCCGCCGCATCTGCTCCCAGGATGAGGCATTCCACTCCCGTACATCTCAGTTGTCCTCGTTTTTCAAGGACCGTAACTTCCCCCCCCTCAGTGGTCGAGAACGCCCTCAACCGTGTCTCCCACATTTCCCGCAACTCATTCCTCACACCCCGTCCACACAATAAGAACCAAAAAAGAATCCCCCTCGTCCTCATGTACCACCCCA